ATTTTAAGTTTCTCTTGAACTGAAAACTGAAACAACCCCAGCTCACAGTAATGTTGATATAACCCCCATGAGATAGCTTCAAAGCCCTCTGAACCCAGTGTTGGGAAAGGACTCCCATACCAAATCAATGCCCAGAAAGTTTTGTGGTATTAATCAGGATGCTGAACTGGGGTGAACTCACATCTCTGTCACATGACATGGGAACTGTGTTCAACAACAGCAGCACTTGTGCTTCTGAGAAATTCAGAAATTTCAACTCCTCTTACTGGTTATACTGTAGGTTCTACTGGCAGCTCTCTGCCAGATAAATCCTTCATGGTGACTCAGAGTTTCAGGTACACTCTCACAAACGTCAAAATTCAGCTATTTCCCATCCCACTTTGCTACATTGTTGTTATGCCCACTCATTATCCCTCATGCTTTTCCAACAAGGATGCACTCCCTCCTCACATTGAAACTCAGAGTTATCTGCTTCAAAAGTGCCTTATGTAAACCAGTGGGAGATGCTGGCACTGCCTCTTCAGGACTTTGTCCCCCACAATTCTCAGGACTGTCAGAGTATCACCTGATGAATAAACCCCGATAATTTTAGGGGACCCCCACAGACTACCAGCTACTAAAAAACTCTCAACACTGGCTAAGTATTCAAGCTGAAAAAAATATATAAAATTTTAATTGTACTACAGTACAAGATTGCTATGGTTTATCAATAAAAGGATTGCACTATTACAATTAAATTTATCCCCAGAAGTTTTTGATAAAATAGCATCTAAAAACATTGCAGTGTGGTTTTTCAAGATTAAGATAAAATTCTTACACAAGCCTTGATATGCTGATCTGTGGTCACATGCAAATGGTATTTCCCCTTCTAATCCCCTCTCTGCCCCCAGGGATCCTGTAGTGTTGGGAAATCCAATTCTCAGAACTCTCATTTCTCTTACATCTCAAGTCACATCTACAGAAAAATTCTTCTCTAACCGCTAAGGTTAAGAGCACTGCTCCCTTCCAGGCAAAAGGAAATCCCACCAGGCTTTTGCAATGCAGTATGTTTAACTATGAAAACAAGCTGTCTAAAGATTGCCAACAAAAAAACTGTGACTTGTTGGAAGAAATTTAAGACTTACTGTCTTCTACACTGATATTTGCAATTCCTGTAAATTGATAATCCCTTCCTAAATAGGCTTGACAAGTTGGTAACTAATCCTCCATTAGAAAATATGGGCACTGAAGCAATGCACACTATTTATGCTTTGGAAAATAAATTCTTTAATGATTATTTTTCGCATTGCTGTCATCAGGATGACTTCTGAAAATGCACTCCTTTGTAAAATAACACTTTAAAGTATACTTGGAATGCTGAATATGTGTACACAATGGAAACCTGTTTGTAGCAACCAGGCAGCTGTGGGTTATAAGGCAGTTGTAACTCCAGCTTTAAAGATGGCAATCATACTCCAATAGTTTTGGGGTTTTTTTTTGAGAAATGAACATCCAATATTGTTTATGTGCATTTTTTCAGTAACTATCACAATGCTTTACCATGCTGATGAGGGCAGCATTTGGGGAGTGCAGTTTCTTAGCTCGATTTTCACATAACTATATAGTTTCCCAGAAGTTATTCACTGCTCATTTGCAGTTTTACTCAGAGGAGAAGGAAATACTTTGTGGCACACACAGTTCTTTTCAGGGCCTTGTTCCTGTACCGTGCGTGGTTCTACTGCAAGGGTTACCACCATCTACCTTTTCCTTCTGTCAGCAGGGGAAACCCAGGAAAGAAAAACTGAATTAAATGCCTTAAAACATTGAAGTGTCATGCAACCACCATGGCATCGCCCACAGCTGGACCCGTGCCCACTGTGCCACTCTTTGCTCTGTCCCCCTCCCTGTCTCCTCCAGCACGCCCGCAGACTGTGTATCCCCTCACATGTCATTCTTTTCTGTTCCTTTTACTAACTATACTAGATGTTGGAATAAGGTAGATCAGCTTTATTTTCAAAATTTCGGTGTTATTTTATAGCTTGTCAGTCTTTTAATTTTTTAAGCCATAATGTATGCAAAATTAAACTCTTCAGAACTTTCACAGTGTTAACAATTCAAGTTACTATTTCTCTACAAGTACCATTTTTTAGCACAACAACATACAGCAAAGAGTCCATCAGGTCAACAATTTCCTTACCAGGAGATGTCTCCACCAGTGCCTTCAAATTTATGGTTTTGTCCTTACCAGAATCAAGATACAAATGTCAAGATTGCACAGAGCTCTCCTGAACTGGCCCTGCCACATTCAAGTGAATGTGAAGGGTACCAGGTGGAGGAAAGGCCCTCGGAAAGAATGATAAAATGGCAGAGTTGTGACAGTGACACACAGAGTACCAAAAATAACAACAGGAGACAAAGAGAGTGTGGCCAGGACCACAGGAAGTCAAGAAAAAGCCACATTAATACTGGATAACTGGATTAATTTTTTTGTTGTTGTTGGTTTTGGTATTTTGGTTTGTTTGGTTGTTTGTTTTTTTTTGGGGGGGGGTGTGTAAGGGTTTTGTTTGTTTGTTGCAGGTTTTTTGTTGGTTTTGGGTTTTTTAGGGAGGGTTTCTGTTTTTACGTGAGAGAAATTTTCATATCTTTGAACTGCATCAAAAAAGGAATATTTAAGATTCATACTATTTTTTGAAATGTGTTATGCATACAATAGCTACAGCACCACAGAATCACAGATTACGCTGAATTAAAAGGGACCCACCAGGATCATGGAGTCCAGCTCCTTGTCTTGCACAGGACCATCCCTTAGTCACACCCTGTGCCTGACAGCACTGTCCAAACACTTCTTGAAGTCAGTCAGCCTTAGCGCTGTGCCCACTTCCCTGTGAGCCTGTTCCAGTGCTCAAACATCCCCTGCGGGAAGAACCTTTGCCTGATACCCAGCCTAAACCTCTCCTGGCTCAGCCTCGGGCCGTTCCCTCGCCTCCTGTCCCCGGTTCCCTCACGAGGTGCCGGGGCTGGCGAGCAGCGGGGCACGGCAGGACCGGCCCGGCGAGGCTGAGGCGGCAACACCGCCCTCACCTCCCCTCCTCCGGCGGGCGCTGCCGGAGCCACGGCCGCCTCCGAGGGCCGTGGCGGGGTACGAGCTGCTGGGACCCGGCCCAGAGGTGACGGGGCCGGGAAGAAGGGAGAAGGAGGGAGGGGGGCTCTCGGTGGAGCTCCGGGCGGCTGCGGGACCCCGAACGGTGCCCTCTTCCTCCCCTGGCCCCTGAAACTCGCCGGCACTCCGGGTTGGATGCCAGGTAGTCTTTCCTCTGAATGCGCAGCTGATGTGGCCTGGGATATATCCTTTGCATGGATAAGGAGGGAATCATTTCAGGCCGCAGACAGGAGCAGGGTTTAAGCAGGGAACGGGCACGACCATGGGTGTCCCTCCACAGCCAAGCGCGCCGTGCTGTGAGGGCGCGTAGGTGCAGGAGCGGGTGTGTTTGCCAGGGAAGGGGGACATACATCTTTATCGCCTGTTTGCGGTCATATGTCGCATTATCGTGTAACCATTCGTCATTTTACTGAAAGCACAACAAAAATTATTGTGGAAAACTGCAGAGGAGCGCCGGTTGTGTCGGTGGGTGTTTCACGGCACCTGCTGGAAAAGGCTGCAACTGCGTCCTTGGGCCGGGATTATTACAAGGAGTGACCGAGGGACAGACTTTACTCCTTGGGTGTGCTGCAGCCCCTCCTGGGCGTGGATACACACACAGTCCTCGGGTACTGCGGGAGAGTTCGTGTTTGTTTGCCTCTGTTGTTCTTATCTCCAATGCCTTATGAAATTGGCAGCAGTGCACAAGTCTCATACACCTTTATGCGCATATAGCACGTGTTAGTGGTGTTTTATTTCTTAGGGTGTCCTGAAAGGGCTCTGCTGTTCTTTAAGTATTAGCTGTTGATGACTTCCAATAGCTATACTCTCAAATAAGAGAAAAAATAAAATAAACCCTGCAGGATTTTAACTGACAAAGATTTAATGAAACCAGTTAAGTTGTTCTATTCATTCATGAGGCTGTAGATCTCTCTCCAAACCTTTGTTGGAGTGTATTGGTGGGAGAAGGTGACAGGCAAAAAAAAAAACCAAAACAGACAGGTTGTATAGGTACAGGCCTTTTGATAGCTCAGAATTAAATATCTTCTAAAACTACATGTTTAATAAAGAAGAAAACAAAAAATCCAACAAGAACATTGTTCTTTCAAGCATCATGGATGCTTTTTCCTTTGTTTTTAAACAGAAGCGCAACACTGAAGAGGATGCTTCTTTCTTCAGTAAATTACATATTCCTGGTTTAGCAGGTGAAATTTTTTTAAACTGGTTGTTGCTGTTCATTGATGCTCACAGAATTGTAGGCTGTGCACTTAGATTCCACAGTGTTATTCTGATTTGAGCTTGACCATGAGACTGCTGTTAGCTTTTTGCACAAAAACCAAAGTTTGCAACATTTAGAGATCACATTCAACTAGTTGGTGGAGTACTGTTTATACATAGTAACAGATATATTATCTAATGGCATTATTTAACAATGGCAATATAACAACTTTTTAGATCTCCAGGAACAAATATTCTGTGGTACATGTAAAGTATTTTCTAGAAAGCAAATTTCATGCTCATTTTCCTTCCTCTTTTATGGTAGACCATGAAGTTGTTATTGTCATTCACCTCCTCACATACACCAGGAACTTCCTCAGCTTCTTGAGAAATTTTCCACCAAAAAATAGGAACTGAAAGTACAATTCTATCAAGTCTTGCAACTTCCTGTCACTTAATATATTCAATGTTATTTCAAGTAATTTTGTATATTATGTTTTGTGACCATTACTGATTTTTAACATTTTTTTTCTTTGAAAAATTATTTGGGTCAGATGATATACACAATTCAAAAATTTCAAATGGGAAAAAAAAAACATGTGAAAAGTGTTAGAACTGTTTCTTGCTTTATTGTTCTTATCTCAACCGGAGATCTTTGCTCCAATCCTCCACACCCCCAGTGCCCCCCTTGTCCTGGGACCCACAGATTCTGTCCACTGATTCTGGCTCCCAGTCCTCCCAGTGCTTCTGGCTCCCCATTCTCCTGGTGCCCAGTGTTTCCAGTACCCCGAGTTCTCAGTGCCCAGTGACAGGAGCTCAGCTCCAGCATCAGGACCACAGCTGCTGGTACTACACACCAGTCTTGGGACCCCAGCCACACCATTGACCCCAGGCCCCCTTGTGCAGCCCAGGACTACCTCCCAGCCCCAGCCTGGCCCCGTCTCCGTTGCCAGCCCCACTGAGCTGGTAACCAGAGCTCCGATAGCAGCTGCAGCTGAGGTGACACCATCAATAATTGAGTGGCAGCAGGGCTCCACACAGGACTGCCTGCCTCTGCCTGCCTGGAGTGTGGGGACAGGTAGGTGCTACCCCCATTGCCCTATCCTGTCGCTGTGGCTGGGCACCTCCAGCAGCTCAGGGTGTGGGGAGCAGGGTATGGGGGGTGGGAGCAGCAAAGCTGGACCAAGGGGGGTGGAAGGGGTTGTGTACAAGGCCCCTCACTGCAGCACAATCCCCTGGGATGTCAGCCATGCCGACCCCAATATCTGGACCCTGGCAGATGGGTCCCCAGAACTCCCCAGCCCTGGCACAGGGACCTCCACAGCATCCTGGGGTGCCCCAGGCCTGCAGGCCCAGCAGCACTGGAGCCAGGGAGAGGTACTTCCAGCCAACTCGTGCCATGAATAGGAGCTGGCACCCTGGGAGGATGCCCTACCACAGCATCCCCTGTGAGGGGATAGATTTGCCTCATTATGGTTTAGGACTCACATGCTTCAACAATATCTGCACAGGGGAGATTTTCAAAGCCTGGGCCCAAGGTTATGCTACTGATAGACACAAAGGGTGCAGAAGTTCCCATTTGGCAGAACTCCCAAGATAAGTAGGAAACTAACCAAGTCAACTCAGCAACTGTACAAAAATCACAGCCTCTCTCGCTTGTGATGGTGTCTCCGGCGATTGCCCTGGCCTTCCTCCCCTTCATTGTCACCCTGCTGATCCGGTACCGGCACTACCTGCTGCTGCTGTACCGGGCAGTGCTGGTGGCCTGGCTGCGGGACCGGCTCACCGGCACCTCGCGGGAGCAGCGTGCCTTCCAGTACGTGCTGGCCCACGCCATCCCTGGGGACCCCCACCACATCCTCCAGACCTTCGACCAGTGGTGCTACCACTGTGAGCACCTCAGCTGTGTGGGGCCTGACAAAGGTGAGTGCCACCCTTGTGTGCTCACCCCACGTGGGGCATGGCACTGGGCTCAGCCATGGCACCACTGGCACGGCTGTGACACCACTGACGTGGCTGTGACAGTGTTGGTGTGGTGCCAGCACCATATGGCAGTGGCATTGTTGATATAGCCATAGTACCACTGGCATGATTGTGGCACCATTGCCACGGCCATCACACTGCCAGCACAGCCACGGCACTGCTGGTGTGGCATCACTGGCCTGGCTGTGGCATTTCCTCCGTCCCTCTGGGCACTGGGAACCGCTTGGCACCTTCGCCCTGCCCAGGGCTGGGGTGGCACAGGCGCGTGGGTGCTGAGAGGCTCGTGCCACGTCAGGGCGGATCGTGGAGCGGGTGCTGTTGGAGCGGGCACCACTGCGGGTGCTGGAGCTGGGCACGTACTGTGGCTATGGCACCGTGCTGCTGGCACAGGGGCTGCCCCCAGGTGCCCGTCTCTACACCATCGAGGGGGACCCCCGGCACGCCGCCGTGGCCGAGAAGGTCATCCGCCTGGCTGGCTTCAGTGAGCAGACGGTGAGCACCCGGGATCTGGGACAAAGCCCAGCTCTGCAGCCGAAACCGGGGAGGAGACGGGTGGGGGTCCTTCGCCGCTGTGGCAGGGACTGCGGCACCTGCTGGGTAGTATATGTGGGGATGGAAAGGTCCTGTCCCATCTGGACCTCTCTGCACCCTGTGAAGCAGGGTGATGGGTGGGCACCCTGACACCCTGCCCCAGTAACTGAGGGTCCTGCAGCACAGGTGGAGCTGATCGTGGGTCCCTCGGAGGAGGTGATACCCCGCCTGCGGGAGAAGCACGGCCTGACGAATGCCAACTTGGTCTTCATGGATCACTGCAAACGCTGCTACCTGCGGGACCTACGGCTGCTGGAGAGCCACCAGCTGCTGGCTGAGGGGGCCACCATCCTGGCTGATAATGTCCTCTTCCCTGGGGCACCCCACTTCCTGCAGTACGCCAAGACCCCTGGGGCACCCCACTTCCTGCAGTACGCCAAGACCTGCGGCAGGTATCACAGCAAGGTGCACCGCGCCAGCCTGGAGTACTTCCGCGCCATTCCTGATGGGATCGCCGAGCTGCGCTACACTGGCACCCACTGAGTGAGCAAGGGGCTCCTGCCTTGTGGTGGCCACGGTTACCAGCAGGGTGCCGGGTCCCCAACCCCCATCTCAGCCTCAACATGGGCTCTGGAGGAAACACAGTGGCTGCTGTGGTTGGGTAAGGAGGGGGCTCATTCCCTGTAGTGCTCCTGCCTGCACTGCACAGGGAGGTCTGCCAGGCACACCAGTGGATGGTGGGGGGCAGCCCTGCACTTGCCTGAGTGGTACCCCCTGCCTGTCCTGGTGGCCTCAGACACGATTTGGGGCTGTTTTCTGGAAAACTGAGTTTATTAGAAAAGACGTGTCAGCTCTAATGTGCCAGGTGGCAGTCTCCCCTCAGAACCCCCCTGCCCCACACAGCACCCACGGCAGGAGGAGCTTCACTGAACTGTCCCCCAGAGCCGTGAGGGGCAAAGGCTCTCCTCCAGCCTCCAGTTTGGTGTGGTTGTGGCAGAATCAGATCATCCACTGGTCCTGATCCTGCTCTGTCCCCTCCATGTCCACCTGGGAAAGAAAGAGGTTTGAGATCTTGCACCAGAGTGAGAACCCAACAGAGGGAATGAAGGAGAGAAGACAGCCCCTGGAGCTCATGCTCAGGGTCTCACACTACTTACCTCATTGATCTCCCCATCATCAGGAGACTCATTATAATCATTCATCTCATCCATGTCCTGCATGTCCTCATCATCTTCTGAGTCCTCTTCGCTGTCTTCATCATCTTCGTCATCCTCCTCCTCCTCCTCATCATAGTGCTGTGGACATAACAGCTCCAGCAACCCCCTCTGCCCCTCAAGCCCTGTGGCAACCCCTCACTTCCCTGCCCACACACCCACCTCGGACGCTGGCTTTCCTATGGGCACCAAGTTGTTGTCCTTTTCAGCAATGCTCTGGAGCTGGGGAAGGGAGAGAGGCGGGTGAGCACCCCGACAGCTCCATGGTACCCCAGCAAACAGGGCCCTCGGGCTCAGCTGCTGCCTTGTGTCGCTTCCTGACCACATCTAATTGCAGCCTGAGCCCTGCTGCCTCCCTGGCAGCCCCCAGCCAAGCAGGGAAGAGCAGCTACAGACACCTGCCTGAGCACCCTGGCTCCAGGCAGGGTCCCAATGCCACTCTGGGGCTGAGAGGGTTCCAGGTGTCCCCTTGTGTGGCAGGAGGAGCTTAGACACAAAGCTTATGCATTTCTTTATCAAAAAAGAGCCAAATCTGAGACATCTGATCAGCCAGATGAACAAACCACAGCAGATAATTAAAGCTCAATTAAAATATGTCAGCACCTCCCACCCAGAGGGACTTGGAACCTCTTCTAAGTGCTGTGGTTTTAATTGATTTAAACTTTATTATTTAATTATAAAAACTTAATTACTGCTTGTTTTTTTTTAAACTTTAATCAAATAGATGTTCTCCCCCCATACTCAGGGGCACTGCAGCACCAAACCAGGCTCACAGCACAAACACTTGTCACTTACCAGGATCAGAAATCGCTCCTCGCCTCCCTCGGGAGATTAGTTAATTCATTAATTGGGAGCTGGTGCGGGAGCCTCGGTTCAGCAGCAGCTTATTAATTAACCCCCACACCACAAACAGGGAGCTCCGGTAACAGCCTGCCCGAGTCGGTGTGACACAGGGATGATGGACACGAGAGCAGCGGTGCCCAAGCCGGTACAGGTAGATGTAGCACCGGCACAGGTACCGGCACAGGACGCTGAAGCACGGGCACGGCCGGTGAACAGGCGGGGGAGCGATGCACCGGAGGAGCCCCGTGTGCCGGGACACGCGGGAACCCCCACCCCCGCACTGAAACGAGCACCGCGGCCGTGCCCGCTGGAGGAGCGGGGGCCGCTCCCCAGCCCCGAACCCGTTCCCGGCCTCCGGAT